TGTAGACCTGTGTATTTTGGGAGAAGTGTGTACAGGCGAAGGGAAAATCCATGTCCTACAGTGTCCAGAATTAAAAACAGCAGACGCTATTCACATGGGTTTACTTTCAGATTTCTCCAACATCAAAGGCCAAAGATGTTTTCGTTCTCAGCCACCACCCGCAAGCCCATTTCCTACAGGTGCTTTTATTTGTTACCACAGGAAGGGCAGTGCCAGTAATTTAGGCATAATGAGGGCTGCCACACAGAGGGAATGCAGGTAATGGCCATTACCCTGATAGCTGTGACAGCCAGGGCTGTCAGTAACCTGCCGCTCTTAGCAGCACTGCTGAATGTGAGGCTATTCTTAGAAACAGCACTTTGGGTAGACTTTACCTTGCAAAACCACGTTATGGACCTTCCTTGACTAGGTGATGCCATGCAAAAGACAACTTCAGATACCTGTTCCTCAGGCATAGTTGATATTGAGACATTGATACAATAATAAAATGCAAATTCTAAGCATGAAACAGGTTTCAGATGTGATTTTTGAGTGACATTCATCTACTGTGGTAGCCATGAGCAATCAGCTAGGTTTATACTGCACTCTTCTCCCGAAATTCTCTGTGAATCAGTGTGCTTATTCAGCCTGAATAATTAGAAACATCAGCCTTTGTCCATTCTATGCCAGGTGAACTCAAAATAGCACTTAAAACCACATTTCCTTAATTAAAATGTTTCCTAATTAAACCTTAAATATTTGCAGGTCTTATCAGACTCCAATATAAATATTAATGAGGCGTAGCTTGTGAATGTGCAGAATTTCAGAAAACAGTTGTGACTTTCAAATTACCCAGTGCACTATCTGGTACACAGTACTGATGTATTCACTTGCAGACACCCCTCCTGGGTTTGCAGAGTTATTTCTGCCACTGATAAACCTTCAGAGGTTTAGACCGTATGAGCTCTGCAGCTTATGTTACATACGTCTTCCATCTTCTTGCTCAGCCTCACCTTAAGCCCATTACTACAATGCAAGGTTACTGTGCTGTCTCAAGATTACTTTTCATGATCTATTCAAAGTAAAATGCAAAATCCTGAAGCCAAAAATGTCCTAATTATGTCTGGGAGAACCTAGCAGCATTTGACTTAAAATTAAAAACACCCAAGCACATAAAATCCTGAAATTCTCTAAATTCATTAACTTGCCAAGTTCCTGAGGCACATTATATCAGTCACCTGTTTTCCAACTGTTTCAAACGCAGAATCACAGAATGGCAAGGGTTGGAAGGGAACTCGGGAGATCATCCAGTCCAACCCCCCTGCTAAAGCAGGGTCACCCAGAGCAGGTTGCACAGAACATCGTCCACACAAGAGAGGAAAGTAAAATCTATAACATGGAAAGCATGTTATAGACAAAAGACTTTGGTTGATGAGAAAGCCGTTCTGTTTGAATGCACTGTTTTTGTTTTTTCCCAAGACTTGGAGAGAGAACAGGGGAGACTGCAGTCATGATCTAGTGGATGTTGTCACCTCGCCTGATTTTTTTCCTGACTGTCAGAACAAAATAAAAAAATAATAAAACCCCATAAACCTGATTCTGTGTAATATTTGTAAATTTGTAAAAGTTGTTGATTCCAGAGGTGAGCCTTTAAAGTACTATGCAGTTCACACTCGCATTCCACGATGTGGTGTTAGCTCATGTTGTTTGGTCATGAGGCAACTCTATTCCCATGAAATACCACATTACTTACAGGCACGTATTTGGATGTTGAGCATCATGTGCTACTGAGAACATGCTCTGTACTTTTCTCAGGTGCAGAACTGGATAAGTCCAACCTAGATTTACAGGCTTAACCATGCCCACCATTCAAGAACGGAGCTGCAGTGTGACATTTGGCACCCCATGGCAGACACCCCACTCCCCCTCTCAACTCCACTGTTTCAGATGTTCCTCCTCTCTGCAATGCTTTCTGCGATCCCCTCCCCATGTCATTCCCTTAACCTTGCACCCCCCTTCCTGTGGAGAAGCCCCACTGAGCCCCTCTGCCCTCCCAGAGGAGCACCTGGGGGCATTTCCACTTGGCCCTTTGGTTTCTGCTATCCCTCTGGGTAGGTGGTGCAAGAAATGGAGGCAAAGTTTTCAGAGATGGAGGACCAACATCCAGATCCATTCACCCTACGTTTCGGCACCTTTATGTAGAAAGATGATCATCTCCAAAGGCTGAAGACGATAGTGAACGGAGAGAAACAGGCAACTCCAGAGGTGAGTCAACTGACCTGAAAAAGAGGAAGCCTGAATTTAGGCAGAGATTTAATCATATATTCTGTAGAGGAATTTAGCATTAAATACGTGCTATAGAAATGATTAAATAAATTTCTCAAAAGGTCAGGGTTTTTTTATCCTTAGCCTGAAGAGATTAAAAATTATAATTTCTAGTTTAGCTGTCCTAGCTGTCCATTGACTGGGGATTTCTTTGGGATGTGAGATCACAGCAAGGTACCTACAGTTTGATCTTTGGATATTTTGACAAAAAAAAATAAAAAGCATACATATGGAGAGAAGTAAATGGAAATTGTTGGGATGAATGTTAGAATTAAGTGTGAAAATGTCCCGTTCTCTGCTTTATTTTACTTTGTTTGGTACCTTTCCAATAAAAGTTTTAAATCTGTTTTAGAGAACACGATGAAGCCAGTTATACTGTATGGCACATGCTGGCCACAGCCAACTGTTCAACCCCATGAGAGCAAGAATTACTTTTCAAGCAACTTAACCTGCCATGTCTACAACCTCCAACCTGTAGCAGTATGACAGTGGTATGGAAATTATCTAAAAAAGTTAAACCACCTAAAAAGTATACCTTAAAATTCCATGGCTCTAAAATTCTTACCAAGTTACAAAAAATAAATAGCAAGTCTAGACGAAATTTGTTTTAAAATAATCTTTCTGCAGAATCTTGGCACGGACACCTCAGAAGGATGTAAGGAGGTATCAGTACCGGCCTCGGACTCGCAAACCACATGCTTGTCGCACATACATTTGAGCTGCAGTAACTCTTGTTCACTTTCCATGCCCAAAGCCAATGTGTAGTTGCTTGATCTAATTCAGCCTCTGGTGAAGGGTTTACCCTCCAATTACTGTAAATTTTCCCTGAGATGTGCACAGGGAGGCATGCAGTGGTTCAATGTGTGCACAATAACTTCAGACCTGGAAGCTGGAAAACACACAGGTTTCTTTTCCTGGCAGTGGTGTATCCCAGGTGAAGATCTCATGGCTCCCAGCAATGTCTGATTGCAAAAGGCTCTTGCAAGTCAGAGGTAATTGTGGCAAATATGTTACTGAGAGGAGCATCTTGAGAAACTATACCTGACAAGTCAAAAAGCATTTACCTGTATAAAAATTCCCTCAGTGCTATCTTGGACACTCACCCAAGGTGTACCTGTGCCTGTACAGCTTCATTGGAAGGAGATCTTACCTTCTTCTCTTTTGTATCTTGAAAAGCAGGACTGATCATCTCTGGCTGAATAAGCACACGAAAAATTGTAAGGAGAGATTCACAGGATCGTTTATGTTGGGAGGGACTCTGAAGGCTGTATAGTCCAACCCCCTGCACATAACAGGCAAACTTAGACCAGGTTGCTGAGGGTTTTGTCCAGTCAAGTTTTGACAGTCTCTCTGGGTGAAGATCTCTGCAAACTGTCTGGGCAACCTCTTCCAGTGTCTGGCAAACCTTGTGGTGCAAAATGCTTCATCCTACAGAATCAGAATTTCCCTTGCTGCAACTTGTGCTCATTGCCTCTTCTCCACCACCACCCGCCTCCAAGCAGAACCAGGCTCAGTCTTCTCTATAACCTCCCATTAGATGACTGATGACAAGAAGACTTTCCTGTACCCCTTCTCCTTCTCTTATTAAGACCAAACAAAACCAGCTCCCTCAGCTTCTCTGACAATCACAGGTTCCCACTGGCCTAAAAACAGAAACCTGCACTGAAATAACTTGTTGGCTGCAATCAGCAGCTGGGCACAGTAATACACCATTCCCCACAGCAGCTGTAATTTCTGCTCAGCACCACCTTCCTTTAAGCAAGATGTCACTGCAGTCAATGGATGTTTCTCCAGAGGATGGAAAGTGGAAATAATTCAGCTGAGCAAAAAACAAGCAGCAAACAAGATAAAAATCAGGTATAAATAAAAAAGAAATATTCAGCTGTCATTGGATGTAGTCCAGTTCCAACTGAGGTCTCTATCAGGTCAATGCTTCAGGCCCAAGTCTGCCCAAGTGGTTACAGCTTAGATGTAAATGCCTTGTAATGAAGGGGAGGGGTGGAATAAAAGCATAGCTGGGGTTTGCCTGAGTAGATAGAAGCCTCCCATACCAGGTGTGTTGCTAGCCCAGCTGTGAATGTTCATCAGTGTGTGCTGGGTGTGCAGGGAAAAGGTGATAAATTAGAGCACTGGCAAATGCAGGGATATCTTGGGCTTTCCTGTTCAAACCCATACACGTGCTTGTCATATTTTCTGCCCTATTTTCTTCCCCAGGCACACCAAGCGCAAGGAGTTCACAGAATCACAGAATCCAGAATGTCTGGGGTTGGAAGGAACCTCTGGAGACCATTGTCCTGGTTTTGGCTAGGACAGAGTCAATTTTCTTCCTAGTATCTGGCATAGTCCTATGTTTTGGGTTTAGTATAAGAATGTTGATAGCACACTGATGTTTTAGTTGTTGCTGATCAGTGCTTTACACCAGGTAAGGATGTCTCAGCTTCCCCTGTTCTGCCAGGTGCACAAGAAGCTGGGAGGGGACACAGCCAGAACAGCTGACCCCAAGTGACCAAAGGGACATCCCACACCATATGATGTCCATCATGCTCAGCGTATAAAGCTGGGGGAAGAAGAATGAAGGGGGGGACGTTTGGAGCGATGGCATTTGTCTTCCCAAGTCACCATTACGCATCATGGAGCCCTGCTTTCCTGGGGATGGCTGAGCACCTGCCTGCCCATGGGAAGCAGAGAATGAATTCCTTGCTTAGCTTTGCTTGCATGCATGGCTTTTGCTTTCCCTATTAAACTGTCTTTATCTCAACCCATCAGTTTCCTCACTTTCACTCTTCCAATTTTCTCCCCCAGCCTATCGGGGCAGGGCGGGTGAGCGAGCAGCTGGGTTGTGCTGAGTTGCCAGCCAGGGTTAAACCACAACAATCATCTAGTCCAACCCCCCTGCTAAAGCACAGACCCAGCTCTCAGCCTTTCCACATCAGAGAGATGCTCCAGTCCCCTCATCATCTCTGTAGCCCTCTGCTGGATTCTCTCCAATAGTTCCTTGTCTTTCTTGAATTGGGGGAGCCCAGAACGGGATGCAGTACTCCAGATGTGGCCTTACCAAGGCAGAGTAGAGGGGGAGGATAACCTCCCTCGACCTGCTGGCCACACTCCTCTTAATGCACCCCAGGATACCATTGGCCTTCTTGGCAACAAGGGCACCCTGCTGGCTCATGGTCAGCTTGTCATCCACCAGGACTCCCAGGTCCCTCTCAGCAGAGCTGCTTTCCAGCAGGTCAGCCCCCAGCCTGTATTGGTGCATGGGTTTATTCCCCCCTAGGTGCAGCACTTGGCACTTGCCCTTGTTGAATTTCATCAGGTTCCTCTCTGCCCAACTCTCCAGCCTGTCCAGGTTCTGCTGAATGGTGGCACAGCCTTCTGGTGTACCAGCCACTCCTCACAGTTTTGTATCATCAGCAACTTGCTGGGGGTACACTCTGTCCCCTCATCCAGGTCCTTGATGAAGAAATTGAACAAGACTGGACCCAGTACTGACCCTTGGGGAACACTGCCAACTACAGGCCTCCAACTATAGTCTGTACCGCCGATCAGAACCCTCTGAGCCCCGCCACTCAGCCAGTTCTCAATCCATCCATCTCACTGACCACTCATCTAACCCACACTTCCCGAGCTTACCTATGAGGATGTTGTGGGAGACAGTGTCAAAAGTCTTACTGAAGTCAAGGTAGACAACATCCACTGCTGTCTCTGAGTTGAGGCAGTCAGAAATCCAGTAATGATTTCTTGGCACTCAGGCTGAGTTTATGTTTATACTTGTGAACACAGATGATGGTTGCTCTGTGCCTCAGCTCTGCCTGGAGTCTGAGGCTGCTGGAGAATTAAAAGGAGGGGTTGGCACAGCAGCCAGTTAAAACAGTGCCTGCTCACCTCAGAAAGCCCAGGCAGGGGAAATGCTGTCATCGCCCTTTTCTTTTGCATCACCAGCAGTTGCTGCCTTTAACATAGAGAAAGCTATGTCTGCCGGGGTATCAATACCATTCTCCATGGGCTTATACAGGTGGCAAAGGCGGACTTTGCCTCCTTACACAGCTGGAAGAAGGAGCCTGCAACATTCATTTGGCATTCAGTATTGAGAACCAGCTATTTCAATAGTGATAATAATAAAGAGCCTTTTAATACTAATAACCAAACGAGTTAACTCAGTGCTAAAAATTTTAGCAAGGGTTTCACCAGTTGCTTTCTCTTGAAAATTTGTCTACAGGGCCTTAGTCTGAAATGGGAGAGGTTGATTTCAGGCTTTTTTCAATTTCTAGCTAGCCTTTATTCAGGACTGAATTCCTATCAAGCAATGCATAACAGAGTGAGACCATGTGTTTTGCTGACATTTTCATGAGTGAATTCCATATAGCCAGCCACAGAGTATCTGCAGACCTTAAATGTTAATGCATCTTCAAATCTGATTTTCCCCTAAAATTTGCATCACCTCCTTAATCAAACATGTAACCTTTTAGTGTCTTATTTTAAACTAGATACTATAATAAATACTAGATTTAAAGAGTATAAAATGAGCAGAAAGCCCCAAGACAGTAATTCCCTTACACAGGAGGGTATGAAATTACCTTTAACAGCAAAGATCTCTCATTACGGCACTGCTCTGCTGCAGTGTGCATCTAGATTCTATGCCACAAGGAACAGTAAAGTGAACTGAGTTTATTATCATCAAGGAAGAATTATCATCAAATTAATACAGTGGGTTAACACAACCAGGAATGGACCTGTGTCCCATCCAAGTGCAGGAATACCAATATCTGCCTTCCAGGCTGATCTTCCATGCCCAACAAACATGCAGTCCTGGTCATTGCAGGTGCTGGATTTACCCTTTGGCAATTCTAGAATATATCTTTTTGTGACTGGTGGCACTGATCTCTGAATGGCTGGGCAAAATAATCTTGGCACTCATCCTCTGTATTGTTTTTTTCCCCCTCTTTGAGGCTATAAAGCAATTTAGGAAGAACTTTTCCAAAGTGCTGTAATGATTTTCAGTGAGGGCGCTCTAGCAAAGGGCTAAGTTTTTAAGTAGGCAGCCAACAAGCCTTTCAAAAGTGCCTACAATCCAGACTCTCCAGGATGTCCATGGAAGTTTGGCATCCAAGGTCCTGAGCATTTGGAAAGTGAGATTTTGGTTTCACTCAGCTTTTAAACACTTTAAATACTTTAAAACTTATTCTTTAAGTATATTTTCCTCCATTACCCCAACTCCAACCCCCAGCCTCCAAATGGTTCCCAGGCACTCCTTGGCACAAGGTATTCGGAAACTTAGTTTTTCTAATTAGGTTCCAAAAGGGATGTAATCCACTTTTCAGTCACTCCCTTATCTAATTCATCCCTTCCCTTCTTCAATTTTTCATGTAGTTTCTGGCTTGAATTTCTATATGTGAAATCTTGTCTTCGCTGTACTCAAAGACAATTTTTTTTTCTTTCAGGCACCAGGATTTCAGTCAGTGTATCTATCTGACACTTGACCCAATCTCATCTGGGCTTCCCAGGTGCTATCAATGTTTTCAACTACTGCTCCATGATCATCAGATTGGAAGAGAAGTAGGACTAAGAGGTGTATAAATCTCCACAGTCACACTGCTTCGAAGAATCACAAGCATACAGCCCACGCCTGAGCATTACCTATTTGAAATGGGAAAGCTGACAGTTGGAGCTGGATTGCTGAGAATGACTCGCCTGTATTTCATGCCTGGCTTTGATTCAAAGAGCTGCTTTGCTATCATTTGCGATAAAGCATTATTATTTATATAGCCAAGTGTTTAGGAACACTGATCACGGAGGAGGACTCTACTGTGATAAATGCTATACAAACAAAGATAGGAAAGAGCTTAGATTTAGCCCAAGGACTTTGTAACATGGGAGAAGTGATAATATAAAAATGTAGACAGTCTGGAGAATACTAAGATAAAATAAGTCAATATCAGTCAGCATATCAGACAGTGATGCTAGCACACTGGTAGTCAAAAATCCATCAAGCATTTCTGTACAGTTCAGGACACAACAGAGAGTTAAGGAAGGATTTCTAGGAGCACACAGTGTGGCTTGGTACAGAGAGAGCATTCCACATCTGGGGAGTTGTGTAGGTAAAAGGAAAAGGTATTGTTTGAAAACATAACAATAATAATTACAGAAGCTCAGGTATGGAAATCAGCTTCTTAATTCTCAATGAGAGATAATACAGATGTGAGGTAGGCCAGAAGGGACCATGAACATGTGGACAAAAATGTTGTCCTCTATGTCTGAGAAAAAGCTGCAGGAACTGGGGCATGGCGCCCTGTACAGGAGCTGTGATTTGGTTCTGGCCCTCACCCAGGTCCTGCCTAAGCCTGGCAGCCCTGACTCCATGTCTAACCTCACATCCCAACCCCCAGCCCAATGCCTCAGTCCTCTGCAACCTGGCAGATACAAATCGTTGGGAAACAGTTTCAAAACATGGGGTAGAATTATTTTTGCAACAACATTTCTGTGTGTGCATAGAGACAAAGCAAGGCTGGGGGTGCAACTGTGAGCAGAGCATATTGCAAAAGCTGAGAAAGGAGAGCAGCGTTAGTCATGTGGATGGGTGGCAGCAGCCAGATTCAGAGGTGTTCTGCAACAAGACCCCACAATGCTGAAATAAAGCTGGGAGTGAGACCTTCAGGTGACATTTGTCTTGGAGAAGTTATAGGGTACCAGGAGTACCTGCTATTCATATAATAACTGAGAAAAAGAATTGTGGAGGAGGACTTAGGAAGAAGAGGCTGGTTTTAGCCATGTTGGGCAAGAGTTAGTAATTGAACCTCCAAAGGATCAGAGGAACCTCCAAAGGATCAGAGAGAAACACTGGAGATGTTATTCGGGCATGAGAAGGCAAGTCCGATGTTGAAGGCTAGTGATCAGACCAGCAGTAAGCTACAAAACATGATTTATATACAGAAAAAGTTCTGGAAAATTAATTACATTTCTTCACTAGAAATTCAATAATTCCATTATTCCCTGGAAGTAAATTATCTTGCTGGAATTAATTTTCTGTATTGACTGTTCTTTCTTTCTGAGAATAGAAATACATGTATTTAAGTAGGTTTTATTCCAATGAAAATGCATCACCTACATCAAAATGAGGTTCTCTAGTCAAGAGTCCTGCTGTTACCAATTTCTATCTCAACAGTTGCTCATCTGATCCTCATCTTTTTATTTTACTAAATTCAGTGATCAAAGTGGATCAAACTTCTTGTGTTTGATAAATAGAAAATTGCTCACTAGAAGAAAGTCAGATTATGCCTTGTTTATTAGACTTTGCTTCAAAATGAAGAATGTATTTTAGTATCCTTAACCTCAGTAGGTACCTAGCAGGTTCTCTGAGTTAGTAGAACTGTAAAATCATAGAACAGCCCAGGCTGGAGGGGACCTTGAAAGGTCGTGTGGTCCAACATTTCATGGGAAAGGGAGCCTAGATGAGATTATCTAGCGCCCTGTCCAATCTCATCTTGAAAACCTCCAGTGATGAGGACTCTCACAGGTCAAAGGGTAAGTCTCCCGCTATTCCACCACTTGAGCATTGCAGTCACCAGAAGGCATTGCTGAAAGTGAATGCCAGGTCTCATGGCGCATGTTCCCACCCAGTCACCCGCCGAACAGCCAATCAAGCCCATTTCAGCTGCGTGTTCACACTTTACATCTGTGCATGCTGATCACAAAGCAAATACGTGATGAGTAACAGGGAGGCTGTTCTCTGCCACTGCTCAGCCGGGCTGATTACCATGGAGCAGTGCTGGGTACTGCTGATGCTGGCAGGCTAAGACAAACAAGAAGCCCATCATTCGGCCGAATCAAGTCTGCTCGGCAGATGATTTTTGCAACTTGTGAGAAAGATCAGAGATCATTTGCAAACTGATATAGCTCTGGGAATGGCAAACACATGACGAGGATATGAGCGGTTATACAGGTAAGTGGCTATTTAAGACATCACTATGCATTAAATCATCAAACACTCGGTACAGTTATTTAGAATATTTCACTGAGTGTGTGGGTGGGTGTGCATAAATAAATCATAAAGTTGCAGAAAGTTTAATTTTGGAAGGAATTTCCTGAGGTGAACAAGTCCAGCTGCCTGCTTAAAACAGGGCCAACTTCAAAGTTAAGTTGGGCTGCTCAGGCTGTCCAAGTGAGATATGCAAATCTTCAGTGATGGAGATGACACAGCTCCTCTGTGTAAGCTGTTCCAGTGCTAAGCCACTGTAAACACTTTCCTCCTTATACCCAAGTGGGGTTTTCTCTTGCTGCAACCTGTGACTGTTACCTCTTGACCATGCACCATTAGCTTCCCCTTCAAGAGGTAGAAGATTGCAACGTTTCCCCCTCAGCCTCCTCTTTTCCAGGCTACACAAACCCATTTC